TTTTTATTTAAAACCAAAAAGAATGATTCTACTTTCAGTCTCATTCTCAGCGCCTTACTTTATAGTTTGAGAACACTACTATGCATCTCAAGTGCCACTCTCGTAATCCCGTAAATCACTTTCTTCTTCTCCGCGTTACCCCCCTTTTTCGCCCTTGGTTGATCCCAAAGAGAAAAATGTATGCAACTAAAGTGCTTAAGTTCAAAATTCATATGACTGCTCAAGGATTTAGGTGTCGAAAACGTCGAAACACGTTTAATCATGTCGATATTGTTCACAATTTCACTTTTATGTAAAAAGACGACCCAAGCTCCACAATTCTTTGGAGGTATATGCACAAAAAGGAAGGGGGACGACGAAAATGATCGGAGAGTGTTTGAAAGAAATGTTGTGTCATTTTTGCGACATTTTTCATTGACTACTGTTTGAAAAAAAAAGCTTGCCACTGATTCCTTTTTGAAGCAAGAAAATCTCCTTATTTCCTCTTCAGCTACCATAGCATATCAAAAATCACATCACTTTTTGCAAAGGTCCTTAGTTGAAATCACTATCACTTTTGTTCTCCTTTCTTTGGAGTATCGAACCTATGGGTGCAGATTGTACGTTAGTGATTCAACACAACCATGTGGAGCCGGATATGCCAGTTAATTTATTGGACAAGTTTACTGCTTTAAAATCACATTAAACAATTATTAATCGCGATCAAACTATTAAACTAGATCATGTAAACTTAGGTGCTTTTATGAAAATAGTTGGAGCGCAGCGATTGCTTATTTGAATTAACACTAGGCGAGTATAGCTAAACAACAGACGTTGAGATGCAAAATTCCCGCCGCGTAGTTTTTCTGTTGACATGTAAGAAACAGTGAAAAAGCTCTGCAATAGAGCGAGTCTAAATAATATCAGCAGTCCCTTCGAGTATTCAATTGCATTTCAGATTAAAAATATAATTCAGGTTATTAATTGATACTGGGCGCCGGCTATCAGCTAATATAAGATAAAGTCAAGTTTTGTAACAGTTTGAAACGTTCGTTCTGAAATCTCTATGGTATAGGACGATCCTAAATGCAAAAGCTGTGACTTTTCGGGATGGCTTCGCTCTTGCATGACGACTATTGTTGTTTAAACACAAAAATGCATTTTCGTAATCAACATGTGGGAAAGCTTCAAAATATAGCTTTGTTTAGGTTGTGGTAGCTAAAAGAAACCACAAATTAGTCTGACTTTACTGGCAGTTCTTATAACACTTTTATTGCCACATTATTGCCTTCCAAGGGCCATGGCCAGACCTCTGCAGCAGGTCTCCGGAAGGCAAGCTGGAATTCGTTTTGGTGGGAAAAGCAAAGGGGAATTCGTATGGGGTCCGGAGTTCAATCTCAATTAAGATCGCTTTTACAACAAGAATGTTGAAGCTACCTCCTCTCCCCTCCTTTTCTCTTTCCTAGCGCGAATGTTCATGCATGCGGCCCAACTATTTCCATCTTATTCAACATACACACTCAAAGACCGTTCAAAAGCTTGCTCCAGCAAAGTTTCAATGTTCTTCCAATGCGGGCGTTTGTGCGGGAAATTTAAAAGTTTTAAGAAATTCAGGTAAACCTGTTTTTCTGAGCGAATGAGCAATAAACAGCCCAAAATTGGCATAAAGATGCACAACCAAGAGTAGAAGAAGTGTTTGAAAAGTCTTTGAAATATTATGAGAATGGAGAAATTGCCGTACCTTTTTGTGATTCAGGTCTCCGACGGAGACCTAGGAGAGACCTCAGGTCTCCAATTAGCAAACACTTTTTTTGTTTCTCATAATTTTGACTTTTTTATAGCAAACACTTTTTGTGCACGCCTTGAGCCAATACAGCGCAATAACCAGATCAAAGCACTTTCTCCCTTTCTTTCTAGGGCCCTAATTCGTATTACCTTAATGAAGAAAATGCGCTCCAAGTATACCGTACTGCAATGCTTGTCCTGATTGCACGTGTCTGTACAGGTTACAAAGAGGGCTTCGTGATTTCCTGGATTTTCAAGCGGGGATGCGTTCTCGTAAAGTCCAATCGGAGACCTGTGCCGAGGCCTGGATGAATGAGCCAAAAATGAGGTAGATTGATTCTTCCCGTAATCTTTTCTTAGCATCCTAGGGAGACGTTGCCATTCTTGTATTGTGAGTCTCATCTTCTACTCACATGCCCTCGTTATTCCAGCATCTTCTTGGCGATGGGAGCAACTTTCATCCTAGCTCAAATTGTGCCAATGCAGACATGAGCCAGGAAGGTCATACTCGATCCCAGCGCAGCCTTTCTATGACATAAAGCTTGTGTTCTTCATTCTACTTAGTCAACATTCAGTGCCATACGGTGCTGTTGGATGCTATTGGTATCCATTTTGGCAAAAATCCTTTGAATATCCATCAATAAAGGAAATTACAAGGATTTGGAAAAATTTGAGTTGTTTAGAAAAAGGATTTTCTAAACAACTCAAATTCATTTTTCAAAATTGTTGTTCACATAAATCTCTTATTGTTCTGACCTCAATGTTTTGTTTAAATGAATAATTTTTCTCAAAATCTCGGACCCTGTGTGTTTCACAGTCATCGCTGGAAAGTTAAGGATTACATCATGCTGTCAATTTCTCGGTTGCTGTGATATACAAGCGGAACGGATGTGTCATGAGGCTGAACATTCGCGGTGTCATTTTCATCTCCCATTCTTCTGGAGTGTACCCTTTAACTAAGTCATCGTCATTCATCCCAAACTGCGGTCGACAAACTTCAAGGACTCCGCTAAATGACACCCAGGCCTTCTGAGACAAGCTAGAAAGGCGCATCGTTCATCCGATTTGGGAATGTATCGTCTGTCCTTAAATGGCTTGAATCGCATTTTTCTGTCGGAAAGAGCACGGTCAAAAACCAAGACAATCTTGTTTAAGCTTGGTTGCGGCTCAAATTGCTTGCGGAAAGATACATACCAGTCAAGCAGATGTCAGAGTTCTTGTTAACTGATGCGGTGATTGCCAAAAATGTCAGTATTTCAGATATAAACCCCTTTTTTTGGATTGTCTGGATTTCGTTATTAGTTTGACCCTGACTATGGGTTCCGCTAAACATAGCTAATGTCCGTTGTTTTCTGAATTCTAGCACATGTTCATCGACATGAGCAGGCCGTGGTGTTTTTTGTATTGTACTTCTGCATAATTCTTCAAACTTACAAGTCATAATCTTAGAAGAGAATTTAAGCGTTTGATTTTGCAATCAATAAGAACACGTTATCTAATCCTGAAAGAATGTCAACCAGCGGATGACTCCAGATTTGAAACAGCCAAAGTATCGAGTCAAATTATCTCTATTTTAGACTTGGAATAGTGAGATAATTCATTTTAATATCCTGATCACCAAACTCCAGGAACTCTTTTTTCATTTGATTCCAGTAAGCAGTCGTGTCACTGACAAAACTTGAAATTTGGCTCGTACACAATGCTTCATGATAGTTCAGGGATAAATAGACAGCGTCGATAAGTAAATCTCCAACCTTGAATAACGAGTAGATCCTCGTTAGAAATGGTATCCCCAATTTGTGTAATCTTGGTGCCAATTCACATGATAGCAGAACCAATTGTCTCATTCCCACTAGGTCGTTCAAGCATCTTAGTAGATCCCTTAGGAACAGGCAAAGACGCGTATCGATTTTTTCTTTGTATTTTGGTTGCAGACAAAAGCGGGTGGGAGCCTTTTGCATCCACATGCTGACGTGTGTGTGTCAGTTTTAGAAACTCCTTTACTCCCGGGCTTTCTTGTACACTTATGGCCCGTTGTTCGTTTGTGGTGGCCGATACACCAGCTGATTTGATTGTCTTGACTTTGACCAACTGGTTTGTTTGCTTTGACTGAAGTCAGGTCTAGGTTCCCTGAAATTCAAATCACAAACAGATACGACAATTTTTCTCCTACAAACCTCCTGTTCATACTGCTCTCAAATTCCTTGTTGCATACTTTTCTCCCAAATTTGGTGGCAGTACATTCAAATTCTTGGAAAACGTTAACTTAACGTAAGCTGTTAAAATGCGCCTTTGAATTTTCCGCGTTAACACACGTGTCAGGCAACATTGTCAGCTCTGCCTCCCTAAATACGCTTTTTAGCAACGTTCCTTTAAGTCCACTGGAAATGGTAGTCAACTTAATAAGGGAAAAAAGAAACAACTCTTCGGACGTCCCGCACACGAATAATTTCTTCTCTTTCTCCTAAAATGAATCCCAGGCTGCCCAATGGAGACTTACTGAACCCTGACGTGGTTGCGCAAACTTTTTATTTATATTATGACCAGCAAATCAACTTCTCAGAATACCATCATCCCAAAGCTGTTTGAGAAGTTGGATAGGGATGAGAAAAGCTCGAATAAGCGTGACGTAAATGCATTCCTTTTCTCGTAATCAATGATTTCTTTTGGTAATCAATAGGCCTGGTCATTTTTTCAAAAAAGTTCGTAGAAAAGCTTCACAAAGAATTGTTGTATATTTGTAATAGCGTGCTCATCCATTTGCAGAACATAGTGAGTTTTGTTGTGATTGGTATCTTCACATTGGCAGACTACGGACAGAGAGCTCAAGTTCAAGAGGCAAAACATTAGCTGCAGATCGGTCTTTGAGTTCAAAGCAAAAGTGATTAGCTAGAGAGATGGGGCAGGACAGTCTCTAAGCTACAAGGCTGAAATCTGATCCGTCAAAGTCTTGCCAGAAATTTTTATCATGTTGAACCTAGAATTAAACTTGAATTCTGTGTCGTTTTGTAGAAAGGTTGTGGCGGAAACACAAGTTGTACTAAGATAGCATATTATACTATTTTTTTATTGGTATACGACATTGCTGTTGCAGAGGCACTGATACTAAAGTTTCAGAGCCCTTATGGCCATAGCAATGTTTTATGGAATTGATTAAGTGCGATCTGTGTGTTAAGTATCCTGACGAATTTATCTCAGTTCTGAAGATCAACAATAATGCCTCGGGCAATTTCATGAAGCATATAACTTGAAGAAACTCTATCTCCAATGACATATTAGTAGTGGGATGTTCTTCCGGTCGAAGTAGCTATCACAATGCTCCTCTGCCTCTGTTCTCTTGATCTTATCACTATAGTTGTTTCCGTGATTCTCTTTCGGCACATCAT